AAATTAATCAAAAGATTCACTTGTTAAAACCACCATGACTCACTTCGTCACTCCTCGGGCTGCAAGCTGGAGATACAGAAGAGGAAAGCGCCAGCAGCCATGTATGCGATCGGAAAAAGGAAAAACACTCAGGGCGTCTTTGTCCTCTGTTTAAACAGTGCCACAGAGGGGGGGAAAGAGGAGTAGGAGGAGTGGAGGAGGGAACCAAGGGAAGAGGGGATAAGAGAGAAGAAGTTTCTCACAGCTGCCCAGCCTGAGGCCCAAAATATGAGGCGCTTTGCTCGTCACTGCGTTACCAGCCATCCGTTCTCGCCTGTCATTATTTTACCTCTCACAGAGCACACACGCCGTCTCTCAGGCACACATATGCACGCTTACGCCACCACACACTGTCTGTGCTGCCTTGATCTACTCTTAAATGCTGCCAGCATCAGATCCTCGAACATGGCCAACTTAAACAGAATGGAGAAACAGACTACAAATTTTTGTTGTTGGTAAAGGAAGCAGTTTTATCAAACTGCTAAAAGGCTGCATGATTGGTCTGTTTATATTAAAATTATGGAATGTTTTACAGTGAAAAAATTAATGAATCCATCGTCCTTTATCATTGTTATAGGCCAAATCGGATTCTTACATTCTCGAGTTATAAAATTTTTAGCAATTACACACCACAATTAAAGTCAACTTAAATGTGTGTCAGATGTTGCATCCTTACCTGGCACCTTTTCCCCTACTTGAGTCTCCCTAGCAAGGCTAGCTATAGGTTCCAAATACAAAAACTTAAGCTTCTCGGAGGAAAATGTATTTATAATTTGTTTAATAGTGCGTGTACCGATTTGTTTGCTATCACCAGCAAAGCTGCTGGCTTAGCATTGTAGGTAGATTTATTTCTTTATGGCCAAAAATGGCCAAATAAAACCCGATGGGACAGGACGTTTAGTTTGTCCATGTGTTTCTCCCCAAAATTACACACACAAGAGTTGAACTTAAGTAAACTCTGACATGCAAGGCACGGCCTTTCTCTAACCATATCCAAGTAATTTTAGTTGCCTAGTTCTTTTCGCAGGTAAGGAAATGCTCATGAGTCACTGCACTGACACACAACCCATTTCCCCAACGAGGTATGCGAACTTGTTGGTGCGGTGAGTGGGGAGCCCTGCGAAAGGTCTGCACAGGGTCCACATCGACCCTCCACTCTGCACTCCTGTCCAAAAGTTAAACTCTGCAGAGGCTTCCACAAATGTCACAGTCAAGTTCAGTTCGCATTAGCAACCGTGTCACGAGGCTGAGGAGATTCTGGGAGCTCTGCAAACATTACGCTGCTTCCACGTTTACCATTAAACTCTGGGCCTCTGCAGAGAGACTGCAATGGAACACTGCAGTCTCCGCACAGACCCTAAATTTGACTTTAGTACAGCTGAAACTTGAGTGTCAAATAGCTGTAGCAGCTTTTCTTTGAATTAACAGAGAGCTGTTGGACAATGAGAGATGTGGCTTCAGAGTGCAATCTGGTGTATTGGGCTTTGTGGCAGTAACATATCCATCAAAACTTCGACTCTCGGGAAACTTGATCCATCCATCTTCACGTTTCACCTTAGCTAGACATCACTGACTGGCTATAACAGAGCCTGTGAGCTACTATCGGTTAAAATCAGTCACTGCTGCATTCTGTAAGAAATGTCTACCCACAGCACAGGAGGGGAGAGAATCTAAAGCAGTAACTACATAAAGTGTCTGAATGTATACAAATGCGGAGGACACATGCGTTAAGTGCATTCAAAGAGACAAAAAGCATGTGACACATTACATATTAAAGATTTTCTGTAAAATATGACACTCACCAACTGAGCATGCTGCTGAGGGAATTCAGCATAACTCACACATAGAAGGAGGCTGTGTCTCTCCTACTTGGCTGTAATGAATATAGGTCTGCCAAACTGAGCAAAAAAAACAAAACAAAACAAAACACTGAAAGTATTACATAAGTTAGGATTCTCTGCGATTTGAACCTTAAGTCGCTGCACAGGCGGCTATTTAAATTGCATCAGTTCCTCTGATGTAAATGTGTATAGCCTTCAACTCCCTTAGAGCTTTTAGTCATTTATTTTGATTAGGGCTGTATTTATAAGATAAGTCTCTTAAGTAAGTCGCCTGGGAAGATGGGTTGGCGAGGATGGTGGTGGGGAAACAAAATGAAGTCTGTTTGATGATTATAAATTCCAAAATATCTGCTAGTCAATTAATTAGGTACTTCCTGGGTACGTGTGCCCTTCTTTTCATTTACTGGGCCTGGGCTCTCGGTGGACAAATACCCGAGGTACACCCATTGTATGTCTAAGCTGTTACACACATCTCCAGCAACTGGGGAACGGAGAATAAAGATCCTTCAAAGACAGACAGTTTTCAAGAGCAAGCCTCTGTTTTTGTGTGCTGATTTCTTGAAGCAGCGTATGTGGCCGCTTGAAGGCTTTACTTAGCCAGTGTCTCATTCTCACACACAAACAAGAACCGGAGAAGGATGTGGACATGAAAAGATAGGTAGACTGAGAGGACTGGGCTTGAAGTGATGCATCCATTATTTCTGCCTCTCACAGTGCAACATTGCGTACCTGAGACTTATCTTGTTCAGGCTACTGTAGCGTGGTGAGCATTGGCTATTGTCATGAGGATACTACTACTTTTATAGCGAATCAAAGCCATTGCTAACCCCCCCAAAAAAATGGACTGTGTATTTCCTATCAAAAATTGAATAAGAATCAAAAAATACCTTGACATATCCTTCAGACTTTCAGTGCCTACATGTGTTGTCGGTCTGTATCCATATTCAGAAGACATGGGTTGTTTACTGATTCCACAAGCATACTGGACTAGTATTTTATGTAAAGCAAGCAAGCATGCATAGCAAGCATAGCAAGCATACATACATAAAGGTTTGAAAATGGCAAAATTCCACTGCACAGTCATTCCAATGAAATTGCCACAATCAGAGAATCTGTCCACGAAAGAGCAATGGTTTTCAGACAATTAAGACATAGGAGTTGATGGTAAAATATATATCCTGTTAGTTGCCTAGCTAAGCTAACGAGGTAACGAGTTTGCTCAGAGAGTTTTATTGTGCTTTAATAACTTTATAGTGAACAAAATGTCAGGGGGAAGTAAACAGAGTAGTAGACCGAAGCGTGCTCGTCACGTTCTCGGCGCTTATGGATAAAAACTAAATTTAATGTAACAAAAACACAACAACTTCTATTTTCAGGTGATAATACGCTAATTAAAATATACCTATGAATATTATATTCTATTTCTGCCAATAGATCTTCCTAAATGTTGCACACTGGACCTTTTAATGTAAACAAACCCAAATCTTTTTGACTATTTGTGACGCGCCTGTGGGACAAAACTCCAGGAGGTTAGTACATAACACCCCAATATTTGCTTTTTCACTGCTTGCTGACGAATATGGGAAATCATCAAATCAATCTTAAAGTAATTCCTAGCAGTATGATCTCGTTATTTCTGAAAACTGAAAAAGTATAAATTTTCAGAGGACTTTCACCTACCGTTAAACTGTTAGAGACAGGTTATTTTGAATTATGTTGGCTAAGTCTGAAATATTTGCAATACTCTTAACATGTTAAAGTGTTTCATCTCGTTGTAATCATTTTGTATTTAGATAATGAACTGGACTATAGATTTTCATCAGCTGTTTCAGTGTTTTCCTTTTAAGACAGGCCAAATTACTACAACCGAGATGTTATAGGGAAAACTATCAATAACACAGAGCTGGGATCAATACACCAATTTTAGGACCAATAGAAAATCCCTCCCAGATGTCTAACATGAGCTGACACGGCTTCATGGGAATAATATTTGTGGATTATTATCTTAAAAGATTTTTCTACCAGTAACTCTGACATGTTTTCATATGGGTGTTTTTTTTTTTTTTTGGGGGGGCATGACAGTTTTTACATTTGTATTCAGTCCAATCTGTCAAAATATTCTGAACCGCAAATAATACTGCATGCAATGTCACAATGTTCTTAAGCAGGTTTTTGTTCTCCTCAGAGGTGGTGAGTCACATTGCATTTGGCGACGTCTCCCACTTGCACAGTTGAGTTTACAGTCTGGTTTCCAGTGAAGGAAAAAATGTCAGCATGCAGCATGCGACAAGTCATCAAATCAGACCCATATTTCCTCGGCCCCATATGTGGGAATCTTGTCATTTTTAGTCCTCCTCAGAATCCTGAACACTCTGGAAAGAATTTATGTTTTGCACAATATTTTTATTCTTTTTAATTTCATAATGCCTACAAGCATCAACAACAGAATATAGCACAGCTGTAACAACACACATTTTCCTAACCTCAGGTAGATTCTCAGCTAGAGATAAATGTCAATATTTTGATATTCGGTATATCAATATTTTACCGCCACAGCTCAGCAATCAACAATATTTACTCTAGGAAGGATTTAGCGATTATCTCCTGAAAACCTTCCGCGAGGTGAGGATCCGCAACGTGACTTGGCTCTTTCTAAATGAATGTGGCATCTTAAAAAAGAAAATTAAAAACCTGAAATTGTTTTGGCTCTGCCTGTTTTTCTCCTGTGACCTAAAACAGAACACTAGCATCCAGGCATGTTGTCTTTCATCATTAAACTGTCTTTCAGAGGCTCCTGGGAGCCTCCTAGAGCACAGAAAGGAACCTTGTATTTTGCAACATCAAGCGCACAGTGTCTGCTGGGAGGTGCATATTAGAGTCATGGACTTGGAGCTGAAATGATCTTTTAAAATCACTTTCTCATTCTCTCACACACACACACACACACACACACACACACACACACACACACACACACACACACACACAACACACAAACACATACACAAAAGCTTTTGTTGGGGCTTTATACATTAATGCAGGTGATACCCAAGGTCTTATAAGTGTATAGATCTTTGACCTTGTTTTCTGTCCCTGTCTGCTTCCATTATGTGCTTGTAGATCAAAGACACACAAGGTGCACCAGGCAGTATTGTGGGTGAAGATCCTCACTTGAAGGCAGTTGACAGAGGTAAGTTATTAAACCTTCTCACCGTCCCTTTCTACCCCCTACTCCTCCTGTGGTCTCTACAGAAAATTCCTGCACATAAAATTAATTTACATGCATGTGTGTGGAAATATTAATACAAGCATTAGTTAATTTCTGGAATTAAAAGAATCTTTTTATTGTGTCATAAATTTTAATAAAGCCCAAAGTTAGCTTAATGCCCTTAACACAAGAGCTAAGAGGGTGGTGTGTTTATTTATCCTGATACTAGTTGCTTATGATTATATCAAGCTACCCACAATGGATCAACTAGAACGTGTGTATAATTGTGTAGACAATTTGCAGTGCTTCCTTCAAAATAAAGGCTGGGGGTGGAACACAAAAATGACTCACCTAAGGGAGAGTGTAGTCCTGTCGCACAAACATTATAGTTTTTACTTTGAGGTACGAAACGGCTACATGCAAATATAGAGCAGCAATAGTGTGTGACAAGGATTAAAGATAGAGAATTGGTCGTAACAGATTTTTCAGTCCTCCGAAAATCTTTTTTTATTCAGTCAAATGCTTCATAATTGATTATATGTGCATAATTTTGATGCTCTTTGCTTCCTCCCTCATTGTTTTACAAATAATGACAATCTGATTTCCAAGTAGTCATTTAAATAATTTGTCATGTAGATGTGCCAAAAAGGTTTCAATTATTTTTCCCTCTGTTTTCATATTGTGACTACCTTTCACTGACAGTAAGAAAATTCAATATGAAACATAAAGAAGATATTAGTAACGTAGGAAGGGCGTTATATTTTCAAAGAAGAAATTGAAGACTGAATGATGAAATGTGTTGTAAGTGGCAGGTGGTGGTCACTGGTGATGCCAAAGTCAAAAGTGTATGTATAAATAGTGGTTTTAACAAATCATATATGTAAATATAAATAAATATGTATATATGAATTAGACAATGGTTGCAACGGTTTGAGATTGTCACGGTACAATAGCCGCCTCAGAAAATATTGCGGTTTCACGATCTAACGATATTGCATAAATATAGTGATTATAAGTTGCAATGACCCTTAAAAGAAACACTTTTCACAAAATTTACAATATGCAATACAATAATACAATATAATATTTTATATTTATATTATAACTGTCAATTTTCATACCACAGTATTCCATGTTATTGGTATACTGCTGCATAGGCTATTGCTACAGCTGATTCATGATTGTTACATCAATTTTGGGACATGGTATCCCCAGGAATTTTTTGAAAACATAATTTGTGGTACTGAAATATACTGGCACGGTAGTTAAAAGGAAACTCTACAGCAAATTTTGCAATCCAAAATATTCTGTTGCTTGAATGGAAGTATTCTGGCATACCTAGAAGCTCGGCTATTGTCTGAAAATAACAAACAGATTATCCGTGCATAGGAGAGCTTTGTTTACCATACATCCATCCCTTTGGCCATACTTCCAAACAAATCTAAGTGAGAATGCACCTAGTGTGGATGTGTGGCTGATGTGGAATGCTGCTTGCGTGTGTCTCATGTTTTGTTTTTCAAGGTGATGCAGCTAGTTTATTCCCCCTTTCACACCACGAGCATATTATCCCGCTCCAGCTGCTGCGAGGAGACAGGCCCAGGTATTTATGGCTAACATAAAAAGTGTGTGCCTTTCCCTGTCGCCCTACAGCTCGAGATTTACAGCGCATTTGACAAACACACTGAATTAAAAAAAGAGTGTTCAATTTGTATAGGAGTTTAGAGCCTGTCTGTTGTGCATGCTCCCAACGGATTCAGCTGTTAGTACATGTGTGTGCGCATGTGTCTCGCTGTCTATGTACGCCTCCCGCTGTGTGAGAATGTGTCGATCTGTCTGCCTGTGTGCGTATGTGCGTGTCTGTGCGCCTGTGTGTATTTTTTGCGTGAGTGAGCGAGTGTGTGTGTGCGCACACCGAGCCCGCCTGCTCTGAAACACCAGCAACAGATAACAGATGGTCCCCCTGCATTAGAAGTGTTTTATTTCCCTGCGGAAGCCAGATATGTCAAAAATAAGCATGTGCAACATTAGTCATTTGGAATATTCATGCCCCTGCCGTCCGATGGTTTCCTTTTCACAGCCAAAATACCACCAGCCCAATTCTCCTAAGGAAGTGAGGGGAATAAGGGGGAGAGGGAAAAAAGCAGTCATCAGCTGAACTGATGGGGGGGAGGCTGAGGCCTACATGCGGCTTTAATGGAAGATTTTTTTTTTTTCTCCTGGACGCTTCTTTAGCATGCCAGGGCTGTAATTAAAAAGGGGCTACAGTGTGTAGATGCGTTCATATTAAGAACCACATCCCCCAGCCCCATTAGACACACTGATGTGGATATGCACACATGTCCATATGCCTGCCTGGCTGCGTACATATACACACATATACACACATATACACACACACAAAATACTAATTTGCACCCACATTGAATAAGCTGATCCAGTGGACTTCTTTTGCATTTCTTCATAGACTCATCTTTGGGAGTCCGCCTCCTCTCCTCTCCTCTCCTCCACTACTTATTTTCCTATTTCTCCTCCACCTCAGTCTCTTCAACTATCTAAATTCTCTGTAGCTTCAGTCTCTTTAATCTCCACCTCCTCTCCTCCCAGGCTTCCTACCCCCATCTCCCACCATTGAGCGTGGCTGCCATCCTTGTCCTTGGTGGCGGACATGGGCATGCATCATTATCAGGCCTGATTAACCATCCACGTAGTTGGCAGCCTGGTCTCCACCAGGGGCCAATGGCATGGTTTCTCCTACCGCCGAAAAACATGAATTTTGAGCAGCACTTTCTCACTTGCCCGTGGTCCCTCATGATCAGGGTTAATTCGTGGCAGCATGCGTGAATGCTGTAGAAAGAAAAGAGGAGGAAGAAAAGGAGGAGGAAAGCTACCAAACAGTTGTGCGCTGCTTATCGCAGAAATGCAATATGATTTATTCAGGAATATGCAAATCCAACAATCACTCTGCCTTGTTTACCAAAGGGACCTGCTGATTCAGTCTGAGAGAGAGAGAGAGAGAGAGAGAGAGAGAGAGAGAGAGAGAGAGAGAAAGAGAGAGAGAGAGAGAGAGAGAGAGAGAGAGACAATCCCCAACCATGGAAGCCAACCTACAGTGCATGCACTAAGGCAGCCACCAGCAACTAAATCAGTGGTTTTCCTTTGAATCGGCAAATGAAGGGTGTCGGACAATTTCTCGGTTGTTTCACAGATTCAAAAACCTTTAAATTTATTCTGGCGAGGCCGGATTGTTGATGTAAAGAGTGAAGGGTTTTATGCAATACATGTGTTATGGTATCTTAATACAGTGCAATGCTTACAAAGCGTTAGAGGGAGCAGTTGGATTCATTAAATAACACTGAGCGACATGCTACGGCCTGCCATGATGGCACATAAGTACTTTGATAGTTGGCATGTAAAGGTCATGGTGTGAGTATCAAAAACAAAAACAAAGCAGGGATTAAATGTCTGATCACATTTGTATTCTTGCATACTTACTCTTTCATCAGATTGTTCCTAATTTCAGTCCAAAATTGGTCCACATTAGGCTGCTTTTTATTTAGGGAAGGTCCTTGTACAGTTCATAGCATTCATCAGTTGAAAAGTCTGGCTTCTTTTGTTAGTTGGAAAAAAAGGATTTTGTAGACAAACTTATTTATACTAGTATTAATAGACGTATAACTTAGGTTCTGGTACTGAAACTCCGGTATCACATCAGCACTAGCCCTAGCACAAGTATAATAATAATAGGAAATGAGTAACAGAACACAGTATATTTACAAGGTGGTGACAAAAGAATGTGTGGTCACCTGCATGTCAGCTATGAGATTTAAAAGTGCCATTTAGACTTGACAGCCCACTTAACGACTTCATTATCGTATTACCTTTGCTGTAGCCGTGCCCCGTTTGCATTATCACGTTGTCAGTTGTACTCATCTACACCTTCTACTGAAAAGTATTAAATCTATTCAATTTGATTTGCTTAGAAGGGATTCACTTCGTTGTCATTGTTTTGTAAGACATTGATATCGCATTAAATTGTGGATACTTGTCTTACGTATGGTAGAATCACTGGAAGGTGTGCAAAAAAAGAATCCAAGGTGTTGTAAGCTGATAAGAGTTTTTACCGTGCTATGAAGGGCTCCAGGGAAATCCAATGATTGTTTGACTAACATGTATGAATCAGTATCTATGAAGCAGTTTTCAGCACTAGCAGATAAGCTACTGTATTACTGTGCTGCTTGCCTAAAGTAAGAAGAGTGAAGATTTTCTCTGGCCACAGGAGATCTGATATTCAATGTGTGGTTTAAAAAGTTTAAAAAGATGGCCATGTACTGTGAATGAAATGTAATATAACATGTGCAACCATCCAGTGTTGAATGGAAAGACTTGAATTTGATCTGAAACTGAGGTGAGAGGAAGATAAATCTAACTATTCTATTTGCAGACATGCTTTTTTCATTGGTAACTAAGAGGTGCACAGTCTTGCGTTTCACATTCAATTTTTGCTCTTCATGTTCTTTGGGTTATAGAAATGGGTGTGAGTTGCAGCCATTTCCTGACTCTCTGCTGCGAGCCCAATTAGCACTGTTGTACAGAATTGATTTCTCTGCACTGTATTGCATGTACTTTTCAGGTGAGTCCCTACAGCTAGCGCGAGTGTAAGGAAGACAACAATTATCCCGTCTAGCAGAATCTCTGAGGCCACACAAAAGAGAGCAGAGCTCAGAAAATTGATCTCTTCAGGCTTGCGAGTTATTGTGTGGATGAGCAGACAAAAGCAACCACAACTTGGTGGTATCTTTAAGCTACAATGTGCAACTTTTTGATGTCAAAAGCCTGTAATTACATTCCTTTTTTTCAGCTTATTCTCGCTGTAACATTGAGCGATGAGAACTGGGTTGTGAATAAGACATAACAGCTTATATGATACAACAGACTGGTTGTTTGGGACCATGCACATCAGTATAAAATGACCTGAAATGGGC